ATGTTTCATTCTGTAATGTGTGTACAAAGTATGTACAATAATTGTGCCTATTGTAGCATAGCCTCAGAATATAAAATTAGTAATCTCTTCCTAGCATGCTGGCTTTGAGTTATGTGTCATGGACATGAACTGTGAGAGCTGACATTCAAATTCCAGCTATCTCCAGTACACTGGAGTATTTTGAGTCACCACTGCCTCTTAACCTCATGTAGGATGACCAAGAATAATATACAATACTATGCAGTTCTTGGAGGAAGGACATGATACAGATGAAACTAATAAATAATAAGTCCAAGGTCATATGAAGCCCTCACCTATTATTCATAAATTCCTCTTAGGAACCTACTGCTCCATGGTTTGAAAAATTCTATAAAGCAAAGATAGAAATTAGTTGCGGGACTATCATATCAGGTCAATACTTTCTGTAACAAGCCCTCCCCACCCTGCACACAATTGATTTTGGCTCATTTTGGAGGCTAAGCAAGATAGACCAGTGCTATAGTTTATTGCAAGGCACTCAGTTAAACTTGCTACTAGGGCTGGGCGGTTTCGTTTCGTTAATTCGTAATTCGTTAATAATTCGTTAATTTTTTCAATTACAAAACGATAACGAACCATTCTGGAGCAATTATTTAAAAAAAGAATTTTCAAAAACGTTTTGTAAATGCTTCGTATTTCGATATTGTATTCATTTCGTTATTGTTTTGAGGTCGTTTCGTTATTATTTCCGCATGTCTGGGCCAGTTTTATGGTTTAATTAGTGAAAAAAAATTATAATATCACACCAACAGTCAACAACAGAGGGAGAGGGAAGCTTCAGAAGGTTTTGGAGGTTTTTTAGCGTATTTCGCGGTCGCGTCCGCCATTAACGAATCGATTCGTTATTGTTTCGGAAATCGATTCATTAATTTTTTACCATTTACGAAATTTCGTAAATATCGAACTTTTTAAAAGGAAAATTTTGTAATTATTTTAAATATCAAAACAAAAAAACCCCCCAAATACAAATCGATTTTAGAAACAAATTTTTCCGTTGTTACCCAGGCCTACTTGCTACTGTTCAGATATGGGCAATGAGTAAGGTGGCTTTAAAACTATGTATTATAACTGCTTATGAAAATATTTGTCATCTATACCAGACAGCTGAATTATTACTATTTTCACAGAAGAAGCAATAAATTTTGACATGTTTTATGCTGCTACAAGAGAAAGCTAAAATAATTATATTTACACTGATTTCTGAAGTCTTATATTCCCTCCTGCAGTGTCATTTCCGTTGGCTTTTAAAGTGCCATACATTAATCATACACTTCATACCCCCCCCCCCCCACAACCCCGGTGAACATCTCACTACTGCTTGTAATGTATGCTGTAGTTCACAAGGTAAAAAGAAGAATATCACCTAAGTATATACCAGTTGCATCTGTTCCTTTATCCAATGCAGTTGCAGGCAGCCCTTTTTATCTGCCAGATTGGCACCTCTATTTTGAATACCTAGATAGGACTTGAAACAGCATTCCCATGGAAAGGACTGTTTCTACAAAACAGCATGGAACAGACATTGAACACCATAATAATGAGCTATAAGACCAGAGCAGGTTGAATTAGACAATTCTGCCTTGTGAAATGAAAGGCAAGATCTCATTAGATATCACTTGAGCATTCCAAATCTCTATTATCCTGATTGTACTATTAATATCCATAAGAAGGCTTTTGCTTTATGCAGATAAAAATCAGATCTCAAAAAATGTACATAGCATGCTGCTAAATACTTAGTTTGAACCAACCTAATACATGCATGCTGAGGTTAGGTTCCTTATGAAAAACACTGTCCATGAGGAGGAGAGTATGTCTGTAGTCACTACATGATCAATTTCCCCCCACAATCATATTTGTGGTTGGAGTGTAGAGGGTTTAAATCTGTGGTTCTCAACCTGTGGGTCCCCAGGTGTTTTGGCCTACAAACTCCAGAAATCCCAGCCAGATTACCAGATGTTAGAATTTCTGGGAGATGAAGGCCAAAACCTCTGTGATCCCACAGGTTGAGAACCACTGGTTTAAATAAAAAAAAGGTCTCTTCCAACTCTTTGATTCTATGATTCTATGATTCTATGTTCTTTGGCCCTCACTTTCATAAAGTGTGAATGGGCATGTGGGATTGCTGAAGCTGCCACACTACTTATGTGATTAGATGACTAGGACAGACTAGTTCCCTGTTGAGTGCACTGTATCATGCATGTTACATAAATGTAGGAGGATGTTGTTTGTATGTGTGGTGAATCATAGAGTTGGAAGAGACCTCATGGGCTCCAGTCCAACCCCCTGCCAAGAAGCAGGAATATTGCATTCAAAGCACCCTGACAGATGGCCATCCAGCCTCTGTTTAAAAGCTTCCAAAGAAGGAGCCTCCACCACACTCTGGGGCAGAGAGTTCCACTGCTGAACGGCTCTCACAGTCAGGAAGTTCTTCCTAATGTTCAGATGGAATCTCCTTTCTTGTAGTTTGAAGCCATTGTTCCGCGTCCTAGTCTCCAGGGAAGCAGAAAACAAGCTTGCTCCCTCCTCCCTGTGGCTTGCTCTCACATATTTATACATGGCTATCATATCTCCTCTCAGCCTTCTCTTCTTCAGGCTAAACATGCCCAGCTCCTTAAGCCGCTCCTCATAGGGCTTGTTCTCCAGACCCTTGATCATTTTAGTCACCCTCCTCAGGACACATTCCAGCTTGTCAATATCTCTCTTGAATTGTGGTGCCCAGAATTGGACACAATATTCCAGGTGTGGTCTAACCAAAGCGAATAGAGGGGTAGCATTACTTCCCTAGATCTAGACACTATGCTCCTATTGATGCAGGCCAAAATCCCATTGGCTTTTTCACATGTACTGCTCTCGAGCCAGGCATTGTCCCCCATTCTGTATCTCTGCATTTCGTTTTTTCTGCCTAAGTGGAGTATCTTGCATTTGTCCTGTTGAACTTCATTTTGTTAGTTTTGGCCCATCTCTCTAATCTGTCAAGATCGTTTTGAATTCTGCTCCTGTCCTCTGGAGTATTGGCTATCCCTCCCAATTTGGTGTCGTCTGCAAACTTGATGATCATGCCTTCTAGCCCTTCATCTAAGTCATTAATAAAGCTGTTGAACAGGACCGGGCCCAGGACGGAACCCTGCGGCACTCCACTTGTCACTTCTTTCCAGGATGAAGAGGAAGCATTGGTGAGCACCCTCTGGGTTCGTCCATTTAACCAATTACAGATCCACCTCACCGTAGTTTTGCCTAGCCCACATTGGACTAGTTTGTTTGCCAGAAGGTAATGAGGGACCTTGTCGAAGGCCTTACTGAAATCCAAGTACACTACATCCACGGCATTCCCCGCATCTACCCAGCTTGTAACTCTATCGAAAAAAGAGATCAGATTAGTCTGGCATGACTTGTTTTTGATAAATCCATGTTGACTATTAGCGATGACCGCATTTGTTTCTAAGTGTTTGCAGACCACTTCCTTAAAAATCTTTTCCAGAATCTTGCCTGGTATCGACGTGAGGCTGACCGGACGGTAATTGTTTGGGTCATCCTTTTTTCCCTTCTTGAAGATTGGGGCCACATTGGCCCTCCTCCAATTTCATCCATCCATAAAACTTTCATCCATCCATAACTCCCTTGTCTTTTGGTATCTGTGTCCACGGAATACTGCACAGTCTTTCCTTCATTTTTCGAAAATCACCTTTCCAAAATGCAGGTTTGACTTGTCTTTGTTTCGGCCTTCCTTTTTACCTCAAATTGCAGGAGCACATGGTCACTTGCCCCTAAGTATCCGACCACTTCAGCCGCATTGATCAGGTCCTCCACATTTGTTAGGATGGGATCAAGAGTAGCCAATCCCCTTGTTGCCTGTTCTACCTTCTGGACCATGAAATTGTCTGCAAGGCAAGTGAGGAATTTGTTGGACTTTGTACTCTTGGATGAGTTTGTTTTCCAGCAAATACTGGGATAGTTGAAATCGCCCATGACTACTACATCTCTTCTCTGTGCCTGTTTGGTCAACTGTTGGCAGAAGACTTCATCAAGTTTTCTCTCCTGGCTTGGATGTCTGTAGTAGACACCTACAATGACATCCTTTTGAGTCCCAGTTACCCTGATTCTTATCCAGATGCTTTCAAGTTGGTTTCCCCGATTGCTGTCATGCATCTCTTCTGCAGCGTAACTGTTTTTGGCATATAAGGCTACTCTGCCTCCTCTCCCCTTTTTTCGGTTTCTGTGAAAGAGGTTATAGCCCTCCATGTCTACATTCCAGCGATAGGAGTCATTCCACCAGGTTTCAGTGATGCCTATGACATCATATTTGTGGTTTTGTGCTAAAAGTTGGAGTTCGTCTTGTTTATTTCCCATGCTCTGTACATTAGTGTAAAGACATGTGAGCCCCTGAGATCTTCCCCTGAGGTGTTTATTTGGGATTATTGTGCTTTCAGTACTTGGTCCTTTTTGTGTTTGGGCAGCCCTCTGTTTAGACTTCTGGCGATTCCCTGACATTGTGGGTAAAGTACAGTTTGCAAAGCTGTTGTCCCCCTCCCCCTGGTGGACCTAGTTTAAAGTGTGCCTAATGAGGTTTGCGAGTCTGTGAGCAAAAGGTGTTTTCCTACTTGTGTGAGATGCACCCCATCCCTTATCAGTAGGCCATCCTCCTGGAAAAGCAGGCCATGGTTGAGGAAGCCAAAGCATTCTTCCTGACACCATTTTCTAAGCCAGTTATTGACCTGTATTATTTTTCTAGCCCTTGTAGTACCGTGTCTTACAACTGGGAGGAGGGATGAAAAGACCTCCTGTACATTACATTGTTTAAGCTTTGTTCCAAGAGTTCGAAAATCATTTATGATCTTTTGAAAAGTATGCCTGGCCATATTATTGGTTCCTACATGAGTATATTTTGAAATCAAAGACTTTCAAGATTGTGCCCTTTTCTCTCAGGAAAGTTATACTATTTTCCCTGTCTTTTTCCTTTTCAGAATATCATTGCTGAAAGATGGAGGACTGCGAATAGCTAATGTGAGCAAATCAGATGCTGGAAGTTATACTTGCCTGGCTGAGAACCAGTTTGGAAAAGCTAGTAGCTCAACCAGCTTATTAGTTACAGGTAATTAGATAGCTAATTATCTTTTGCTTGCTAATTATATGGATTGTGAAATGTATAAAAGACGCATTTCCATTTTAAATTCCCAGCTATTTTTAATAGCATTGCATGCACAGTTCATGTATAACCTGTGTTTTAGTTAAACTGCCTTGAAACACCATATCCTATGCTAGATTTATATTATTATATTGTATATTATTATTATTATTATTATTATTATTATTAACTTTATTTGTACCCCGCTAGCATCTCCCGAAGGACTCGATGCGGCTTACACGGGCCGAAGCCTCAAACACAATACAATAGAAAACATAACAAAACAATAAACAAAGCAAATCAAAACAATTAAGCAAAATAACAACAATGACAATACATCAATACATCAAGACACTATTAAAACTTGTTCGGCCGGCGCAATGGGGTACAGGGTTAAAAGTGCTGAGATGGCAGGAGGAACGTAGGACTAAAAGTGCGGTGTGCAGCAACATTGGTTGTGCTAAAGTGCTTCCAGGACTTGGGATGGGGATTCCTAATCTGCGAAGGCACATCGGAACAGCCAAGTTTTTAGGTTCCTTCTGAAAACTGCTAGAGTAGGGGCCTGACGAAGCTCTTTTGGAAGGGCATTCCAAAGTCGGGGGGCCGCCACAGAGAAAGCCCTGTCCCGTGTCCCCACCAAGCGCGCTTGCGACGTAGGTGGGATCACGAGCAGGGCCTCCCCAGATATGTTCTTTAGAAGATTCTTTGATAGCTGAATCCTGCCCTGAAAGCAAGAAGATAAGATTGCCAGGTGGAATATGTGTAGAAGAGGAAGATTTGGTGGAAAATTCTTCTTCTATACCATTATTAAAGGCACAGGAATCCTGTTCTATGTTTCATTTGGCAACCCCAATAGAAAAGGCAGAACCTCAGTGGAGATTTCCAAGAGCGAGATAATATTATTGCACTTGTCCCTTTCATTTTCTCCAGGGAGCCCCTGTCCTCCAAAGCATCTTCATATGGAATTTCAGAGGGAAGAAGCAGCCGTAAAATCAACTTTTTTGTGTAGATCCTGTGAATGAGTCTCAATCACAGGGACTCTGGATCTGAGGCTAAATCCTTCAGATCATGACAATTTTCTATAAATATTTTTTACTCTTTCAATCACATAAAATATCAGTTTTTACTGACTTTTATTTTTTCTTGAACCTACATTTGCAAAGGAAATGTGTGTCAGTCTTTAAAAACAGATAAGAAAATTCCTTAAGGCAAGAAAGAATGGAAATATTTCTTAAGTACAATGTTGTGGGTTTTCCTTCTTTATTAAGATTAGAAAGAACTTCTCTTTTCATGATACATAAACAAATAGCCACATCCGATATCCTTTAGCTATCATTCTGTCCTCTATGGACCTCTTTGGGGGTGTTATTTCTCTCTAAATTATATTTATTCATGGATTTTCTTATAGCTGTTCCTGTTTAAAAGACAGAGTTTACACTTGTTATTAGGGCTGGGCGGTTTCGTTTCGTTAATTTGTAATTCGTTAAAAATTCGTTATTTTTTTTTGTTAACGAAGCGATAACGAACCATTCTGGAGCAACTTTAAAACGAAACGAATTTTTCAATTCGTTTCGTAAATGCTTCGTATTTCGTTATGTATTCGTTTCGTTATTGGCTTGAGGTCGTTTCGTTATTATTTCCGCATGTCTGGGTCAAGTTTTATAGTTGTTTTTGTTTAATTAGTGAAAAAAAAATATAATATCACACCAACAGTCAACAACAGAGGGAGAGGGAAGTTTCAGAAGTTTTTTTAGCGTATTGCGTCGCGGCCGCCATTAACGAATCGATTCGTTATTGTTTCGTTATTGTTTTGTAATTTTTTACCATTTACGAAATTTCGTAAATATCAAACTTTTTTTAAGGAAAATTTCGGAATTCTTTTAAATATCGAAACGCAAAAAACCCCAAAAAACGAATCGATTTTAGAAACAATTTTTTCCGTTGTTACCCAGGCCTACTTGTTATTAGGCCTGTCGGTTTTGATTCGTTAATTCGTTATTTCGTTTTAAATTCGTTATTTTTTGCATTTACGGTACGATAACAAAACAATATTTCAAACCCGGAAGGGTTTTAAAATATCGAAACGTCAACTCCAAGAGTATTTACGAGCTTTCGCTCGTTTTGTAAATGGGGCGGACGGGCGGGCGAAGGGGCGCCGCGAGCGCGCACCCAGTGAGCCAAGCCCCGCCCCTGCCTCTCTCTCTCGCGTTCCCTCCTTCCTCCCGCTTCCTTCCTTCCTTT